CGGCAGTTGGTAGTGGTGGTGGCTTAAGGGTTGCGATTGGTGGCAGTAATGGGTGGTACGATGGTGATTTTGCGGTGTTTAGTGTTTTCGATGGTGTTGAATCCTGGCATTTCTTCTTCATCCTTTAGATTTTTTTATGCAAAGAAACAAAATGGTCGGCTCAGATAAGCTTTTGTCTTGGTTTTATAAGAAGGTGAATTCATATTCTTCTTTTTATTCTTTTGAATTTGTAACCCTATTGTCTATCCATCCTCACTGAGATTTCTCCATGTCTCTCATTATTAACACATCTGCCCTAATATCTCTTTTCCTCATTAATAAAAGTGTTCTTTTTAGCAGTGCTAATCATAATTTTCACAAGAATCTCTCTATGGAGAAAGTTAAAGTATTTATTTCTTTGTAATTAAAACTAAATTACAAAGTTTCAGTAAGTACGGATGTGTTAGATTCTTAAGAAAGTTTTTTATTTCACTCATTTGATTTGAAAAGGAATTAGTAAAATTACTCATCTGGTATGTGGATGAATATAAAATACTAATCTAAATCAACCTAATTTTCTGGTAAGTGAGTCAAAAAAGCTTGAGACAATATCACTAGCTTGTTGTGAAGTTCATAATAAAAGTAAAATTGGAAATGAAAGTAAAAAAGATGTGCAAATGAAAATTATGCAATCTTATCACGTCACAATGAATTTCTTAAAAAATTATAATTTTTATGTGCTTAAGACCATTTTAAAGGCAGAAAAAGAATAAAGATTTCAGGTTTAAGTGGTATCATGGGCATTTGTGTCAATTTGACATTTCTTAAGTTTCTGAGGGGGTGGGGATTGACTTGATGATATATGTTTGATCCATATTAATTCCAGTATTCTACCGTTATTCTAATAACGGAAGACTGGGTCACATACTTCATCTCTCAACTTTCTACTTTTTTTTCACCAAGGAATATGTACCAGCTTCCATAGATTTTGGCTTTTCCTTATGGATAAAATTAAAATTAGGGACTGACTATTTTTCTAATTGGTTTACTGAAACAGTTGTGTTTTTTTGTAGCTACAACATTTCACTTAAATTTAGATGCATATGCAAGCTTATAATGGCAACAATGGACGTTTTTGTTCCTATAAGAGCTATTGCATTGATATTCATGATCCCAGACTGTATTATGACAGTCCAAACATTGGGTGTAATAAAAGGGGATAAAATTCTAAGAAAGATCAAGATTTTTTCCTAATCCATTCGCATTGATTTAAGTAAACTCTCAAGCTACCATTGAGTTTTACTTCCAACTCATTTATAGCATATGTATATATATATATATATATATATATGTTCTCTTAGCCATTGAGTTTTATGATCAATCACATTTCTGTCATATTATCTTTTTTCTTTTTCTGCATTTTATATTGAAAAATAAATTAATCAATGAAACATTAAAAAATATGTTGAATATGTCATTGTACTTTATAAAAATTTGATTCTTAACAGTTTTTCCATATGAAAGTATATTGATTTGTTGTATGTGATTGATTTTCCCATGAAATTCTACATCTTTTACAGAAAAAAACTTCACAAGTATTCAATAAATGGCATTGTACTTTCAAATTTTTTTTTTCCGAATTGAAGTTATGTATTGACGTTTCAACTGATTTACCAAATTATCCGCGATCAATTTCGAATGCGACAACAAAAGATTAGGAATTCCATAACACCTTTAATCTACTTGTGCATCCTTAATCTCTATTCCTTCCTTTCTCTTTATAGTTTCTACAAAAATGCAGTTTAATTACTTTATATGTTGCTCTTTTGGTATTATGTTTTGATTAGAGCTTTTTGTTGAGTAGAGCCCTCAAAGGTGACAAGAAGAGATTACATGGTAATGAAAACTATTATCCACGAAATCTGGAAACCATTGTCAGTTTCAAATATTGATGTAAGTATAATTATCATTCATCTTCTTCCAATTTACAGGTGATGAATATATTAAATTTGCTTGATGAAACTTTTAGTTTGTAAGTTTGTAGGTTAAATGTTTTATGAAATGTCTAAGACAATTAAAATTGCTTTAAGTTTGTGGATTTTATTCCATTTATATTTTCTGGTTTAATTTCATAGTGAGTACTTGATTTTGTCTTATCAAAAATGAAAAATAAATAAATATGCGAAACAGCGAAAGTTATAATTTCTCAAATATACTCGGTTTTGATTGTTTAAAATGTAAAGGAATTAAAATATCATATAAGTTATAGCATGGACAATAGTTTGTTTTGAAGTTGTCCTACTTTTATACTTTCGCTTATGCCTTATTGTTGCTTGAGAAAATTGTTAAATTTAAACTGAATCCAAATGTACCCTTTAATAATATTCACACTCCAGTTCCTTACTATCAAGATTTAGTTCTTCAAAAAACCTAATCAAAGTACAACATGATAAAAAATGCAATAAAATCTACAATGTTCTTTAGAACAATTTGATTAAATTGATAAAAAGTTGATAATTGAGTTTGAGGCATTATAAATTTGACCTCAAAGGTCATAATATATGTTTTCATGGGAATAGAGTAATAGTTACTGTTAGTAGTTAGTACCATGAGAAATTGATTGCGTTGTCTATTTTATCCCTTTGGAATTGTGCTTTCGGTAATTAAGTATCTATTCAAAACATAGTGTCAATGGCTACAACATTTGCTTTGGGCATGATGTAAGTCTGATTGTTTGATGCATGATGTATTTAATTGTATTATTCTTGCATTCTTTGATACATGATGAGATTAATTAGACAAAGATTTGCTATTAATCATTCAAAATGACAAACTTATCCTTATGACTGATGGTGTTCATTACAAACATAATGATGGTGATGATAAGGAAAAAGTTGAAAGTATTATGCTATGATTCTAGAAACTACGACCCAAAGATGATAAGCTACAGTAAGGATTTTAAAAGTAATGTTAATTCCATTGAGGTATGAATTATTGTCTACTACTCTATGACATAGTAATATATTAAAAATGAGGTTTTTAAATTACTACAGAGGTTATTTTGAGGTGGAATCCAGATTCACCAAATAACCCTGCAATCAATCCAATATGTCAGGCTCATTCCTCAATGGGGATGATGACGGGGCATGTATTTTCTATCTGCCTATTTTGGTTTAGCATGTCTATTGGTTTTATTGCCTGATTTTAGAATTTTTCTTATAATTTCTTTGTTTTTTCCATCAAACTAGTCGACACAAGGAAAAATAATCCAATACAAAAGCTTATATCCACCATCTGCAAGAAGAATAGTGTGCATGTATGTGCCTTGTGTCTCTTTCCTATTTAATGTATTTTAATCAACATATATATATAGTTGATTCATATTCTATTTTTTTTCTTTTGTTTATTTTAATTAATTATGTCCAGGTTTAGTGATGATGGAACTTCATGTTAGGCTTATATATCCTCTAATTGTCATATATATAGAATCTGTTTTTCTTCCTCCAATTTCCTCTTTTATTACTTACTTGGAGTTGGCATTTTGTATATGCATATTAGGCCTGACATGATATTTAATCAATTAAATTTATAATCTAATTCTATAGGTTCCTAAGATGGAAATGGATGTTGTTATCTTTAATTTGTATAATCCTTGGTTTTAAGATATTCTTTAGTTGATAAAGGAAATGATAGCCTTATTATATTAGAAAATTTAATTAAAAGGAATTGTTAACTCATGTGGCAATCATTATATGTGATGCGGTTACATATGTTACCAAGCTATACAAAATAAAATAATAGATTAATTCCATATAGAAATAATTTCTTTTTTTATTTTTAAATAATAGTAAAATTGCATGTCTTAAAAGTTAAAACATAATTAGGTGATAATGGTACAGGTGATAACATCAATTCTTAATGAAGGCTTGATGTGCAAAAATATAATCTTGCAACAAGATATGATCTTACGTCAATTGTTCCGAGTTTTATTCAGCATCAACGTTGTGTTCTATTTGTTAAAATGGAACCACTAATCTTAATATTTTAGTGATCATGCCAAAAAAAATAAGGGAAAATGTTTAGAATGTTAGAATTTAATGTGGAAAACATCTTTTTTCCATGTTTTTTATTTGTTAACTCTTTTAACTTTTCTTTATTAATTCTTTATTTGTTTATTTATTTCTATGAATATACAATTCATCTTTAAACAATTTTACTTTTTTATTTCTATGAATATACAATTCATCTTTAAACAATTTTAAAAAGTAAAACAAAAGGTAAATTTAAATGTTCATAACTATATAAGTTTTTTAGTCTCTCATTCCTTAATGTTGAATTATAATTAATTAAAAGTTATGTTTAATTTAAGTTATCAATCATTTTTTTTGTCAAATATTATATATAATTGTGTATTTATAAGAAAGTATCTACTTAAATATTTTATTTTGTTTCTAAAATTTTTAGTTACAATTTAAGTTGCAATTGTTAATTAATTCATGTTACAATTATTCTTAACAAATTCGTTTTCCTTATTTTTCGTTATTTATATATGTTTATACATTAATTTTATGTTTAACATATTAAATATTTAACCCATATTTTTACAAAATGACATTAAGCCAAGAAAACTATAGTGAAGAAAATGAAAGACATTCTAAAATAAAAAAATATATGTTCTTTTTTTAAGTTCGATATTAATTTTTAAATTAAACAATATATAATTTTAAATATTAGTTAGTTATTATGATTTTGATATTTTTTTTATTCTAAATATTTAGTTAGTCATTATGAATATTATTTATTTTCTTTTTAAAACAGATTTCATCAGATTTTAATTCTATTTAAAATTAATACACGGGGTTCGATGAGTTTTAATCTAGTAATATTATATAATAGAAATACAATTATTGTTAGTATTTTTTTTTTTATATTTATAAATTGTAAGTAAATTTAAAAAGTGGGTCTTCACAACATCCTCACATATAGATTCGCCTATATTATTAATGATATTGCGAGGAGAAAGAAGATCAAACCAAACACTTCACTTTGCTATGACGATCCTAAATCTAGAGATGCTTACCCAAACCATCATCACATTCATACTTGCTTCACTAATGCTCGTTTGTTACATGGCTTTCAAAAAGACAAAGCATTCCACAACCCTAAACTTACCACCAGGCCCACCAACCTTACCCGTAATCGGGAACATACACCAACTCGCTGGTTCAGTTCCACATCGAGCTCTCAGAGATTTGGCCAAGAAATATGGACCAATCATGCACTTGAAACTTGGTAATGTCTCAACAATCGTTTTTTCATCGCCTCGAGTGGCTAAAGAAATATTGAAAACTCATGATATCATATTTGCTGATCGACCAAAGTCAGAATACACCAAGATCTTTTATTATAATCGCACTGATATCGCATCTGCGCCATATGGTGATTACTGGAGGCAGATGAAAAAGATTTGCATCCTTCAACTCCTTAGTGAGAAAAAGGTGAAATCTTTTGGTTCCCTGAGAGACGAAGAGCTTGATCGCCTTTGTGATTCTCTACGATCTTCAAGTGGTTCTGTGGTCAACTTTACTGAGATGATCGTTGGGTTGATCAACAACATAATTTGCAGGTAATGAGTAGATGTTTTTACATATAAATTTCACCTCTCGCTGGACGTTTTTGTATTAATATATTTCTGTTAAAAAAAAAAAAAAATTATGTAATTTGCAGGGCTACTTTTGGAAATGACTACAAAGCTCAAGATCAAATTGTGTTGATACAGTTAATAAAAGACTTGTTGTTGACATCTGGAGCTGTCAATGTGGGAGAATTTTTTCCTCGACTTAAGTTCGTAAACGTGGTATTAGGGATCAAGTCAAAGCGATTAAAGATACACAAACAGCTTGACAAGGTGTTGGAAGATGCTTTGGAGGATCGAAAAGGTAAGCGTAATGCTGGGATGGAGAGATCAGATGAACGCTTGGTCGACGTTTTATTAAGGATTAAGGAAGAAGAAGAAGTTCAGTTCCCAATCACCTTGGACAATATCAAAGCCGTTCTTTTAGTAAGTACTATAAGAAGTTATATTTTTCATTGAAATATACAATTATATTCCTCGTATAACATTTTAGGGAGGAGGAATCTCACTTCTAAGTTCTAAACCACTCCCTTTTGTCTTTCTTTATTTTTCGTATCCAATTAACTTATTCAATTTTTTTATTTTAAATTAAAATTATACAAAACTAATTTACAAAATCTTTTAAAAACATATAAAACTAAGTTTAAAAACATACAAAATAATTTACATACAAACATAAATGCATAATGTACAAATGAATATTGTGAATTGAAAATGATGGAATCGGTTTAAGGAAATCGCGTAATCGTATGATGGCCATCCAAGCCGCCACACTTAGCCCGCTTAGGAAGTGATGGTTCCTTGGAGGTACCGTCCATACCTCCCATAAATTCTTCCAACCCACTGCGTGAGTCCCTCATCTGTTTTAAATTGCATGTAAACAAGTTCAAAAAGTTATGTATCATAATGAAATGCTTTAGGTAGTAGTATGAAACCATAAAAATATACAAATTTTTGGCAAAATAAGTTATAGGTCAACTTATTAATAAACCATATCAATTTAGCTTATCAATAACATTACTTATAAGCTATTTTATAAACTACGATAAACTATTTAGGTCCTCTCCAATGGATTAAACACATGGAAAGTTCTATGGATTGTCAAGTAGAAAAGAAAATGCATACATTCGTTTTAATTCTTAAAAAATTCATAAACTTTTATTATAATTCTATTGCACCGATTGTATCCCCATTCAACTCCATACTCTTTCTTCTCTATATCATATTCACATTTAATTTATTAAACCCTATACAATTCTCATTGTGGATGACCTAATGGTTTATCAAACGGTAAATTACAATAAAATAACTTATAAACTAGCTATATTGATAATTAAATACAATCATGTATTTCGTTGAATTTGGATTCACGGGCCTTAATTTTATTTAGAAATTCTTAATTATATCTTTTTTCTAATATTTATATATTTTAATGTTTTAATATGTAAGTTTATTTTACTGTGAATACATATATACCATAATATATGTGATATTTATAACAAACTATGTATAGCATTAAAACAATATTACCAGCATGTTTAAAATGATACGTATATAATTTTTTTCTGTTTCAACAAATAGATCAGTCTGAGTTCTCACACCCTGGCATCTCCATTAAAGATATCATAAAATAACTTATCAACTGGCTAATAATGATACGTATAATAAATATTATCCATTTTAATAATATTGACAAAGAAAATAAACATCTTCCGTAATTAGATAAAATATTTATAATTGACGAATTCTATATGTTTCTGATTAAATAAAAGCATTTAAAACAATCTTGTCAACATTTTTTATTATTTATTTTATTTTATTTTTTATTTTTTAATTTTGCGATCGATATATATATATATATATATATATATATATATATATATATATATATATATATATACAGATTAAAATATAAACAATAACTGCCGCATTATGGTCAAATATTGACCACTTGTGCTTACTGTTTAGATACTTGTCGTTTCAAAAATAAATAAATTGACGAATTCTATATGTTTCTGATTAAATAAAAGCATTTAAAACAATCTTATCAACATTTTTTATTATTTATTTTATTTTATTTTTTATTTTTTAATTTTGCGATCGATATATATATATATATATATATATATATATATATATATATATATATATATATATATATATAAAAGTACAGATTAAAATATAAACAATAACTGCCGCATTATGGTCAAATATTGACCACTTGTGCTTACTGGTTAGATACTTGTCGTTTCAAAAATAAATAAATATATAAGTGTATAGGAAGTGAAGATACGACCACAAAGTTTCGAGGTTTATGTATTCCACACACAATACAACATAAGACTTTTCCAAAAGAGGTTCAACAATGAGATTGCTCTATGAATATTCACACATCTTCCATTTAACTAATACACATAATTACGTTTGCATTTTTAAAGGACATGTTCGTCGCTGGAACAGACACATCTTCTGCGACTATCATGTGGGCAATGGCAGAAATGATGAGAAACCAAAGCGTGCTAAAGAAAGCGCAAGAACAAATAAGGGAAACATCAAGACAAAAGGTAACTTTCACTAAAAATGGCACTAACACTTATCCTTACTTGAAGTTAGTGATCAAGGAAACATTGAGATTGCATCCACCAGCTCCATTGTTAGTTCCTCGAGAGTGTAGACAACAGTGCAAGATCGATGACTATGATATACCGGCAAAAACGAAAGTGGTGGTAAATGCTTTTGCATGTGCACTCGATCCTGAATATTGGGAGGACCCTGAGAGCTTCATACCTGAAAGATTTGAAAACAGTTGTATTGACTTCATTGGAAATGATTATGAGTTTATTCCATTTGGGTCAGGAAGGAGAATGTGCCCTGGGATTACTTTTGGAACAAATTCAATTGAAACTACCCTATTTGAATTATTGTATCATTTTGATTGGGAACTTCCACAAGGAATGGAGCCAAAAGATATCAACATGGAAGAGTCTCATGGCATCACCACTACCCTAAAAGCACCTTTGCAGCTTGTTCCTGTCGTTCATTCGCAACCAAATAACTAAGAAATGCAAGATGAGAAAGAAAGTCAATTGGGATCCATTATAAAGTTGAAGAAATTTAATTACCCTGTTTACCGAATCTGTTTTCATTTCAAAACTAATATATTTGTTGGTTGCTTCCATTATCAAATATCTCATGCACATGCAAGTTGCCATTTCCATTTCAGAAATTGTTACACATAAAGTAAATTTGTTTACAGTTCGTAGAAATAGTTTATACAATATAAACTAAACCTAGATATTACTTAACATAGAAGCCGTTTACTCAATAGAATCTCAAACTAATAAAGAAACAAAGAACTTAATTTGGATGCCATGAACGGTGAAGAGGTTCCCATGCATGCATGGAGAATTTGAAGATCTTAACCGGTTCTTAATAGCATCCTTTTTTTAATTTTTATTTTAAACCTTTATTTATTTTATACGTTTGGTTTCCTTGCGCCGGATGCAGTGGAGCTTCTTAGTAGACTACGATGGATCATGCATAGCCATGTTATATCCCCTAGATCTATGGATGTAGTTTTCAAAAGAATTGGTTTTACCGTATAAAATGGTTTAGCGGCGCAACTTGTTGCCCGTTTGCGTTCTAATTCATTGTATGATGATAACTAAAATAGTTAGGTGCTGTTTGTTTTTCTATAAAACCTCTTCAAACCACTTATTGTTGCGCGGCGCAGCACACGCGCAACACTTTCCCTCTCGCAGCAGTTTGTTTTTTGGAAGACTTCAGACTACAAAACCTCTGCGCGTGTGCTGCGTGGCGCAGCACTTGACTTGCCTCTTCTAACCTCTTCAGCTTGCATTTTTTCTAAGTGTTTTTTTAAGAATTTTTGTATAACTTTTTTTGTAATTTCTTTTTTTTTTTTTTTAAACTTTGATTTTCTTAAATTTTTATTTACGGATGTGATACAATTTATTTATATAATTTCCACGATTTTTTTAATTTTTTTTTTTAAAATTTTTTTTACCGTTTTATTAATAATATTTTCAATTTCAGTTACATTTTTTTTAATGTGTGTAATTTTTTACGAACTTTGTAGACAACGTTTGCAATACTTTCTTAAATTTTTTATTATTTTCTTTTTTAATGCTTTTTTTTAAATTAGTTTTTTTTTTCTAGAATAAAACTATTAGCTTCTTTTACATTTTTTAATGTTTTTTTTTTAAAAAAAGTTTTATATTTTTGTTTTTTACATGTTATTGTTATTATTATTTCAATGTTTTAAGACTAGAATTATTAAATTTCAATGTTGACAATTATTTCAGTTTATAAAATTAGTTTATTTAAATTTTAGTTTACCGCAGCAGTCTGCAGATGTTAAAAAACAAACATGCTTCTTATTATAGGTTGCAGCCGTTTGTTCCACCTCTTCTGCTACAGAGGATTGCAGAGATGGTTTGCAGACTTCATGAATTTTCGCTTCGAAAAAACAAACAGCACCTTAATGTTCATAGCGAATTAATATTACTAAAGGTTCGATGCGAATTTTTTTTTTTAATATTTTAATTTAATTTACTTTAAATATTTACTAGAAGATATGGACTTTAAGTTTCAAATTAAGACAAGGTTTTTTATGCGTGTATGTGCATTGTTTCTATAATGAAGAGTCATTTGTTTTACTGAATCAATTTTGACATTGAAAGTCAATCAGGTTAGTTATCTTTAGTAGATAACGTGAGATCGTATACTATAGAAGTGAGGAGTGTTTATGGGGATAGTACTTACAAAAAAATACATGAAATGATTTAATGTCAATTTCCCACACAAATTTATTTCATGATTGTATGTTTTTGATTTTTTGAACAAGACACATGAGCAGCAAGAGTTTGTAGTGAGTTTGTAATAATTTCATCTTGAACAAGCAAACAAAGATCCCTCCGCGCGATTTTTGTGTAAGGTATGTTTTGAATAGGTAATCACATATCTTTCCTAGGTTTAACTCTTTGTAATATAATTTTTAGGTTCTTTTTTAGTAACATAATTCTCGATGGGCTTAGGGATGAGTTGCGGTTTGCGTAATGGAATGAGGCTATGGGTTATAGCATTGGGTAAGCATTATATAAAAGCAAAGAAAATATCGACATAGTAAACCATATTTATTCCAAAAATGTCTTTGATACCTTTAGATAAAATGATTTATTTCACATTTCAAAGAAACAATTTTCATTTGTTTTATGTTTTGCAAAGACAATACACAAGACTCAAGGACAATCGTATCAAAGGTGGGGTTACTTTTTAGACAAATAGTGTTCACTCACAGATAGTTATACGTTGCATTGTCCAGAGTTAAAAGCATAGATGGATATAAAATAGTAATTTTAGACAATGACAATAAACTTAGCAATATAACATCTAATGTTGAATTCAAAAAAGTCTCTAGAAATTTGTGATTTAGAACAGTTCTTTATAATATGACCATAGTTTGTTATTAATATAGATTGAAGTACTTACTTATATATAATTTCGATTGTATTTATTTTAAAACTTTAATTTAAAATTGTTTAATGTGTAAGCTTTTATATTTAACTTCTTTTAATTATCAATTACACAGGTCTCACAATTAGTATAATAATATGTTTTAGTATTCGTAATTATAGATTTTTCTTTAACATCATATTTGACTTATGTTAAATTAAATTACATCATAAACTATTATAAAACTAATATATGCTTAGATCAAGTACATCACCCATATATATATATATATATATATATATATATATATATATATATATATATATATATATATATATATATATATATATATATATATATATATATATATATATATATAAAGCTCGGAATCGTCAGGTAAAACCATTACTTTAAAACAACTTTTACCCTTGGACTAGACCGGAGTACGTTGAGTGTGCACACGGTGTGTACGATATACTCCCATGCATGAGCGGATCGGGGGTGTCACTTGCGTACGTTGGTCATATTCATGCATACGCGGGGCGTATGCAAGCCAGGGGCAAACCCTTATTTTTAGTGTTTGCAACCTATATAAACACATTAATTCATTCTCCCTCTTTACATGATAAGCATCATTTGCCTCTTAAACAATATCTCGAAGCCCAAATCCTTTTTTTCTTTGTTAGAGCTTGTATGGGTGTTTTATGTGTATGGGTGCTTAGTGAATAAGAAGGAGGTTTGTGAAGAAGCATTGGTCTAGCAAGAGTTTGTAGATCCATAGGTTTCTCACCATTTCTAGTTTATTGAAGCTAAAACCCTCGTAACTTGATGATTCCATGTGTTAGTTTTAGTCTAGGGCTTATATTCCTAATATTATGGTCCATATGGTGGTTCTTGAGAGTATAAGCTACTTCTGGAGAAAATAATGTTAGATCCTAGTGTCTTTGATATCCCTTGAGAATAAAAATGAAGTCTTGATGGATTAAGTTCAATCATTCAAGGGTTGAAGTTGGGTTCATGAGGTTAGTTAAAGATTTGGCCCATTTAAGAAATGCAAAAGCATAAAGTTTGCAACTTTATGGCTTAAGACACTCTATTAAGCTCGGATCTAAAATTAGACCTTAGGTCTTTACTGATTAAGACCTCAAATTGGAAGTTGGCCATCTGGAGCATATGTATGACACCGCCTCCACCTATGATTTTCAGGTACTACAAACTCTAAAGGGAAGGGTCTGGCCTGACCACACCACATCGACCTATTCTTTTCCCCCATCACATGATTTTGGGATTTTGTACTCTGATATTATGTTATTATGATATACTCTCGACTTTTTTAATATAATTATCATACGATTGATATGAATTTAAATGCAAAATCTGTAATTGAATATTTGGGATGTTACAAGTTTGTATCAGAGCGTTGGCTTGAGGCATTCGGACATACTCTCAGGTATATCTGAACTCAAATCGAGGATTTGGTAAGTCTTTCATAAACATAAATATTTAATACGAATTCCCAAATAAAAGAAGGTGGTGTGATGCGTGCAATCAACCAAGCTCAAGTAAGTTTTCCAAAATACTCATACACGTTTTATGTTATGTTGTGAATATGTAAATCGCATGCTAGACTAGAGCTAAGGATCTGCTTAGGATTGCATGATAGTATGCTAGGATAGATGCCTTTATATGCCTATTGTATGAGCTTATAGATCTGCATGGTAGTATGAGATCAGTTACTTGACAGGATGGCCTATTTAGGTTATGTGATGGCTTGAATTGTTTGATGCTCGGATGATGCATGCTTTATGTTTGTAGGAGACATTATTAGTACCAGTTGACTAGTGGATGAATGGGTTTGATAACATATTACTTGGATTAGATAATTTTAGAAGGGTAGGTTTAACTCTAATGTGAAACTATTGTTTAAGTCTAACTATTGTATTGTGGGACCGTTCGTTCAAAGGACTATCTAATACCAATGGTATGTAGTTATATTCATGTGATAGTTAGATGATATTGGTGAAAACTCCTTTTGCAGCTGATAGCAAAGAGTGGAGAGAGAAAGGAATCCTATGGAGTTCATGCATTATGTCTTGGTTCTTAGGACACTTAATGATAGGAGAGGAGTATTAGATGGGATGAGAGTTACTTGGAGGAATCAGAGTAGTCCTTGAGGAGGGTATAAATAGGTGCGGGAGGTAGTATTGGGCATGTACTACTAGAAGCACAAGATTTATACCCGAGATCAAGAAGACCACGATGAGTCTAGGAAGCTCGAGAGTATGAACCTCTTTGTATGTTGTTAATTGTTTGTGTGGATATGTTTCACTATGGCAGTGACATGTTTTGGAGTAGGAGGTTGAGGATCTAGGTCTGGTTTGGGCATCGGGATCGAACCAATTGATGAGGTTTTACATGAGTTCATTCCTTCTTAGATTTCAAGAGGTGTTCTTTATGAGACCCCGATGATGTTTAGGTCAATCAAGGAAAGTATCATCGAGCTGATGGAGGATCGCCTATGGATTTTCATGGCCGACCTGGCCGCTAACCGTTTGGGGCCCACACTCTCTCCTTCAAGGATTTAAGGTGATGTGGGGCGCCAAATTTCTTTAGGGTGAAGGACCCCATTACCACTAGGCATTGGCTAGCAGATATTGAGTGTGT